GGGATGGTTTCTGACGGCAATTCTCCTCTCCTCCTCTCCCGCTGTGCAGCAGAACCCCCCTTCGGCTTTGGAACCACTGGAGACTGTTCCATTATGCATAGATACAAACAGGATTGCCTTAGCGTTTACTTCGCACCCAGAGCTGCACCCAAACTATGGAAAGGCAGGTGTCAGGAAAATAACAGATCTCTTGTGGCTTGCTTACTGTCCCCCTTACTGCTGAGAAATAACTCACAGCAGCAGGTTAAACTGACAACAAACACAGGAATTGACTTCAGTGGGAATGAACTTGCTTGACTGTTGACAAAAATTTAAGGTGATGCAAGTCTCACAGGGCTTGCTGCTTGCTCGGGTGGCAGTCAGCCGCTCTGTGCTTCTTCCTTCTCGGGGCAGGGACAAAGGACCCAGGATGACAAAAGGGTGCCCATCCCTGAACCAAGAGGCAGGTCACAGCATCCTGAGAAGAGCCGAGGCTTAGATCTGGAAGTTGGCACAGGTGGACTTTGCCGAGGAGAGGATGCTATTAAGTGAAGAGTGGGGATGAGGAAGGTCTCCCCCTCTTCCTGCCTCCCATTCAGGAAGGTGACAAAGATCAGGCAAGGGCTGGCAGCTTCCTGTCCTGGCCACCCTCCAGGTTGAGATGGCGGTGAGGTTAATCTCTCCCCCCATTCTCATCAGGGCTCCCTGAGCACGCACCAGGCTAGTGAGTGTCACTTAGGGGAGTGGCCAGAGCCCGCCCGCAGCCTGCCCGCCGGGCAGTCTGAAGGGAGATGAAGGTAGGCAGGCTTCGGCAGAGGGCACTCACGTCCTAGGAATCTGCACTCAGCAACCACACGCCTGTGTTCCGTGGTTTCCTGGGGAAGCGGAGATCATGAATCTCGGTAACTCGAGCCCAGGGCCCCATCACTCACCGTGATTGTGGGGGGATTGAGAGCTGGAGTGGATCAGTCTAAACAAAACACACACACCGGGGACTCTTCCAAATGGGCCCACTTGGCCATCAATGGGGGACCCCTCCCGCCGCTGGGTGGAAGCAGGGGAAGTGCTCGGGAGGGGCCCTGCAGCTTAGGGTTTCCTCCTCCCCCATCCCCACCTGTGAGGCGGTGGGAGACATGAATCTTGCTGGCAGCGACTTGGGCCAGCTCAGCCGTTTTCAGGGATGTTAATGAAATGCAGGAGCACTTGTCCTTTCAGACAGCGGCCCCTTTTATTTTGGAATGAAAAGCTGCATTAGTCTGAATGAGGTTGGGAGGCCTCATAAATCCGCTCTGCCTGCCTCGTGGGGGAGCGAGGCGCGGAGGCCTGGCTGGTGGGATAGACTTGTTTACCAACAGTTCACGAAGCCAGGATTGGTGGCTCCCAATCCCCAGAGATGCCGCTTGAGATCGTGCCAGCCTTGGTGCCTGCTGGTGGCAAGGCAGCCGGGAGAGGTGCACAGCAGCAGAGAGAGGGGGCTGCAGGTTCCACCCGATGTGAGCTGGGGACAGTGGAGCCCCCCAGTTTGCTCTACTGAAGGACTCAAATCCTAGACCACTCAGCCTTTCTATAAGCGGCCAGAAGCCCAGTAGGTCTGCATAGGCGGTGATGAAGATCCTGTGCTAGAGCCTGTCTGCTGTTCAGTCCAGGCGGGACAGGACAAGGGTCAGGTCTGCAAGCTTAGGATACAGATGGGTCCTCATGGGGGTCCTGGCTCCCCACCCACAAAGCCTGGCAGTGATGGCCAATAAAATTAGAGGGAGGGAGGGAGGGAGGGAGGAGTGAGGAGGAAGGAAGGAAGGAAAAGAGGGAGAAAGGGAAGAAACGAGGGAGGGGGAGGGGGAGGAGAAGGGTCACACACTAGCTGAGTGACTTTGGACCTCCTGAATTCTCTAAGGCTCGGAGTCTTCAACAGTAAAACGCAAAAATCGTCCAGATCCTATCACAGAGTGCTGGGAGGTGGTTAGAAGAAGTGATGCACGGAAGGGTCGCTGAGTGGTACATCATCTGGAACACAAAGAACATGTAATAAATACTAGCAGTCATTATTATCATTGCTGTTGTTTTTGTTGTAGTGCATCCCACCCTCCCCTGACTGGGAGGGAGCTGGCTGCTGTCAGTCTGGGGAGACCTCTGCGCAACAAAATGGCTTGCAGCTAGGTCCAGAATAAGGCCTGGTGCCCCTCTGGGGGCAGCCGGCTTCCCTCTGACCCACAGTTCCAGCTGGATTTCCAGGCCCAGGGACTGAGCCCCACAGCCTCTGCAGCTGGAGGCTTTTCCCAACGCAGCCAACCTGCCAACGAGGCGGCAGAGGAGAGCGTCCCTCCGCAGCGCTGGCTGACTCCCGCCCACTCTGGAATGCGGGGGGAGCAAGGCCTAGTGGATGCTGCTCCCCTGGAGGTGCTGAGGGGGCTGCAGGGCACATGCTCGAGCCCTGGGGTCCTCAGATTGCCCCTCTGCCTTCCCCCATGTGCTTCTCCAGGGCCAGTCTCTTTCTTGGAAGCTACTACTTCTCCTCCTGCTCCTCACCCTTCATCCCTCTCTCACCACTGGCCTTCCCCAGAGTTCTGGTCCAGGGCACATACCTACCCATTCCCTGGAGTCATGCCTCTACAAGTTCCCCTCTTCGGTTTTCCAGCCAGGTCACTTGTTACCTACCCCTCTTGTGGCAAGAGGCTGCCTGCAGGATAACCAATACAGATCTAGCATCCAGGCTCGCCCCTCCTCCCCCAGCCCCTAGCCATTTCAGGGCCCAGCTGCAATTTCACCAAAAACACCCTAGGAAGATAGGTAAGCAGCTTACAAAGGTTTTTGGGTTCTCTTGCCTTCTTGCTTTTCCTTCTTTCTTCTTGGGCACTGTTGGTGATGCCTTTTTAGCCTTACATCCATTGCCTTGAGTTCAGATCCTGCCATTGCCTTTTCCATTTCCCTCGCAGGGCACTGGAGTTTCCTTCTTTAGTGATCTCAGCCAGAATTTTCTGGTTCCTTGGAACAACTAAACCAGCTGTGGAAGCTGATAAGTGCTGGGGATGGGGTGACCACTCTTGAAGAGGCGGCTTCAGCTTTACCCTAGAGGGTGGGGCCTTCTGCTCCCTTCTCTTGCACCTCCTCCTCCATGCCCACTGGGGCCCGTAGCTCTCTATTGAGAGGTGGCAGCTGCTGCTTCCCTGGCTCTGGTCTGCATGTCCTTCCCTCTGGTCCCTTGGGCCACATTTTTCAGTGGCTGCTTGGGAAACCAGCCACTTCTGCTGGAGGGTGAGGAAGGCCCAAAGTCTGACCAAAAAAAAAAAAAAAAAAGGTAACCTTCATTTGCTGGCAGATCTTTGAGGATGTCCTCAAGACCTGCACACCTCTTCCCCTTCTGGAGAGGAAATCCTTGGGAATCTCCCTTCTCACTCCTTCCAGGGCTGCCTCCATTTCAAGAGGGCGAGAGTACCTCCCTCCCCCCTCCCCCAATCATCAGGATTGGCCATGCTGTAATACTCACGTCCCCACACAATCCTGGACAGGGAGGGAAAGAAAAGACCGGGAAATTAACAAGCCAGATAGAGCCCGACTCAGTCTATTTGTAAGAAAATTAAAGATTTGTTTTTCAGATGTTGGGGGCCATGCTGTTACCAGACAGCTGGCAAATGGGAGAGATTGGAATGATGGAATAGATCAAATTATTTAAATGAGAAAAATAAATTCACACACAGCCTAGCCGCTGCCCGGTGACAGATTCGTTTATTTATCTACTGTATCGGCACCGCTTTGTCTCTGTCAAAAAGGTCATTAAACTCGCCTAACTGCGTATTTCGCAGCCTCCTGCTCCAGACTCGCTCCACAGCTCTTCTCTTCCCTCGACACCCAACGCCACTTGAAAAAAAATTTATTATTGCTAATAAACAAGGTTTTTTTTTTTTTTAACCCTTTCTAGCTTGCTCCCCCTCGGGTCCTGCTCCACCCCCACGGAAAGCTACAGTTTCTCTTTATTCATTCTCAGGAGAAATGGGGAAGGGGGCCCTTCTCCTGCAGAGTTGGAGAAGAGAGATGCGAAGTACCAGGGTGCATCTCAGCCGCCCCTCTGTATCTAAGGATTTAAGCCATCTTCCTCCGAAGCCCCCGCAGTGGCGGTGCACGGTCAAGTCCGGCTTTCCACAGCAGAGGGTCTGGCCTGGACTCTCCCACCCCCACCAGCTCCTGCAGCTCCCCTAATCCAGCGCTGGACGATCCTCTTGGAATTCCGCCTCCCCTGAGTCCCCGGCCCAACTCTAACTCTGCTTCCACGAGGGATGGCAGTTAGGAAGGGAAACCGGCTCCTGGGTCAGTCTCGGCCGCTGCCGTCCAGCCAGCGCCGGCGCGTGGGAGCTGGAAGGCGAGACTCAGCCGACGGCGGGCTCCGGGTCCCTCTGCTCCCGGCGGGCGCGTCTCTTCCAGCTGGTTGGGCCGCTAGGCTGCCGCCGTCTCCCAGCTCGCGGTGCCAGCTCTCGTGCTCCACGCCCGGCTCCCAGCCTCCGTGCCCTCGCAGTCGAAGGGGACCGGGGGCCGCAGGGCGGATGGGGACGTCTGAGAAGCGAGGAGAGTCCTCGTTCTCCGGGTGTCCCCCTAAACCGGGTCCCGGGCCCACTTCCCCGCCCCCTGCGCAGGTGTGAGCTCGCGAGTGTACGCCTCGGCGGGTGTGAGTGTGAAGTGTGTGCGCGGGGGAGTGCGCGGAGGGAGCGCGGGCGGCGCGGGAGGCGGGAGGCAGGGCGCGGGGGAGGGGGCTGGGAGGGAGTGTGTGCGCGCGTGCAACTCCACTCCGGGGCTTTGTGCGAGCCCGGGCGATAGCATCCGCCGCGGCTGGAGGAGGAGCGGCCGGAGACGCGCGTGCAGCCCGCCCGCCAGCGCCCGGCAGCCGGGGCAGGTGGGAGCCCGCGCGGGAGCCGAGCCGACGCGAGCCGCAGCTGAGTCCGAGAGGAGCCCGATGCGCGCCCGCGCCTAGAGCTGCCGCCCCAGGGAGCCCGCCACGGCCGCGCCCCGGGCACGCTCGGCGGCGCCCAACGATGACCGCTCCCTGGCGGCGCCTCGGGAGTCTGGTTTGGGAATACTGGGCCGGGCTCCTCGTGTGCGCCTTCTGGATCCCAGACTCGCGCGGGATGCCCCACGTCATCCGGATCGGTAAGAGCTCCCGGGAGCCGAGGGTCTCCGTGCGCCCGGGCGGGGGCGGGAACGGGGGGCCACTGAACGCGATCCCAAGAGATTTCCCAATGTCTCAGCGGGCTGCCGGGGCCGGGTGACCACCAGGAGCTCGACCCGGTGAGGACAAAGTTCCCAAGCCGGGGTCACGGGCCTTACTTATTGGGGAGAAGGCAGCCGGGCTGCGGCGGGCGAGGGGCCCTTGGCGCGCTCCTGGACCGCCAGACCTGGCGGAGTGTAGCGAAGCGTTCGGGTCCCAGCCTGAGTCGCGGGCGCATTTGCCCGCGACTGCCAGCAGGACCGGCCGCATACCGAGTTCTGGGACCTGGCTCCTCTGCGAAGCGGGAACCCTGGGAAAGGCGCCAACTTCTCTTGCCTCCCCGCTTCCCGCGGGCTCCTCGCCCCGACCTGGGGCAGGGCTCGAGCGGCCGCGGCGGGGAAGCAGGGTCCGGCTTCGCCAGACGAGGACGGCCGGTCTCCTCTCCCGGTGGCCGCCCTCGGCCTCGGAGGCCCCCGTTCAGCCCCGCGGCGCGGGCCAGGGGAGGGTCGCCCCCTCCCCCGGTCGCTCCAGCCATCCGTTGCGGCCGAGGCCTCTCCCCCGCCTGGGGCAGCGCAGAGGCTGACCGGCGCAAGCGGGGAAGGCGAGGACAGGGATGCCAGTGGTTTTTAAAGTTAGCCGAAATCCCCCAGCAGCTGGCGGCGGCTGGCGGGTCTGCGCGCGGCTCTGAGGCTCTCGCGTCTCCGCGTCTCTTCTCGCCAGAGACTCTTACTCGGGGCTTTAACTTTGTTGTGACCGCCCCAGGCATCCCGTAGGCAGCGCTCAGGGCTGTGCGGGGAGGGAGAGTGGTGGCAGGGGAGGGGTGGGCTGGCGCGTGTCCCAGGCCCGAGACCGCCAGGGTTGGGCCCGGCCTGGCCGGGCGGGAGCCTCGGCCACGCAGGCCCTGCGTCCGCCGCCAGGCGGGAGACCTGGGCCGCCTGGGTTCGCGAGGCGCCCCCACCAGCTTCTGGCTCCGCCGAGACAGGGCCGCCTTCCTTCCCTGTGGCTCTAATCCAGGCGCGGACTCTGGGCTGCCCGCGGCGTGACGGGGTGCAGGCAACCAATATCGAGCTTGGCTTCCGTACTTGAGGTTTTCCTAGGAGGCAATCAGAAATTCCTTCTCTCTTCTCGCTGGTCTCCCCTGGATTCCAGGTCCTCTTGAACTGGACATCTGGACGAGGGCAGAACATCTGCCTCAGCTCTGCCCACGCTGGGGTCTTCCTGTTCCTGCCCAGGACCCGGGGCAGACAGACATTTGAGGCAGAGGAATCCAGGCACCCGACTCTGGGGACAACCCTCACGACCAGGCTTAACCCTTTGCAGCCCAGACTGCTCCAGGCAAGCCAAAAATATTTCAATCTCTGCACCTTTGCCTGCCCCAGCGCCTAGTTTGGTCACCATTCCAGGAGCAGGCAGCCCTTTAGTAGTGGGCCAGGACTTCCTTTATTCCCTCTGGTTTGTGTGTGTGTATGTGTGTGTAGGGGCCTGATTGATTAGGGTGCCCTTGGGAGAAAAGAGGGGGACCCAGAAGGTGCTATGCACCCAGCCCACGCATTGCAGTTCCCTCTCCCATGTTCCTTCCCCTGCAGGGGTGGGAGGGGCACTCTCAAAGCCCAGCGTCAGGGGGTGGTTGTCTTTGAGGGCCCAGGAAGACAGGAGTAGGTGAGGGAAGCCAGGGAAGGATGCGCTGAGGAGGGGCAAGATGATGTATCCTCACCGGCTCCCTCTTACCGTGAAATTGACTTTCACCGGGGGACTCCTCACTGCCCTGAGGGGAAGCCCCAAGCCTGCCCGCCCTTTCTTGGGTTCAGCGTGTAATAATGCAATTAAGGATGGCAAAGCCCTCCTCTCTTCTAATCTTCTTCGTATTAAGCCCCAGGATTAATTAGCGTGTCGGCCCAAGCCATTTATATCCAAGAGCCCTGCCCCATTTGATTCCCAGCCCGAGGACTGGGGTGCTGTGCCAATGCCAAACGTGACCGCCGGAGCTCTGCCAGCTTGGATGGAGGATGGGTAGGCTCTGAGATCCCTGAGTTTCTCTGGAGCTCCCTGGGGAGCTGAACTTGCCTCCTTCTGAGCCCAGGCTGAAGTCTCAGCAGGAGCCAAGGGCTAAAGTGGACATGGTGCATTGAGAGACAGCACACAGAGAATCGCATGTTGCAACCCAAACACAGCACCTTGGCTGGGCCCAATGGCCTCTCCTGTCTTCTCTCCCTCTCTCTGCAGCCCTGAGATCTCAGGCTCTGGCCATAGGAATTAAGGCCCTGGAAATTGGGTGTGCTGGATGGTTCTGGTTCCCAAGACGGGTGCCTGAGCTGGCTGTGTTGGGAGCTGAATCCTTCTCCAGTAGGCAGGCATCGCCTAGCACCAGCCCAGGAGAGGGTTTTCCTGCAGGTGTGCAAGGGGCTCTCTGGACTGGGGAGCAGCGTACCCGCCCCCTCTCTTTGTGCCTTTTTTGGGGGCTGAAATTTCCTCTTAGACAAGGAGATGGATAGCTCAGCAGTGTGACAGAGTGTTCAAACAATCCGTCTTGAATAGATGAATTGCATTGCTCTGTCTTTTTGTAATTGTGTCTATCAGAGGGAGAGGTCAAGGCATTGATTGCTTGGATGGTTTGCAAGTAACAAAGGAGAGTGAGGGAGAGAGTGAGGGAGAGAGAGTAATTGGATTGTAGTCTGCAGGAAAAAAATGATCATTGATTATTTTATATGAATATGTGGAAGATGTATTCTGTGTGTTGTTATCAAGTGTTGCTTGTTGAAGATTTTCAAGGCATATTGTTCAGTATTTTATTATTATTATTATCATCGTTATTATTGTTCAGATGAATCCTAGTCTTAACTCACGGAAAGTGGCTTAATGCATGGGTCCTTCCAGTGCTTCTGTGGCCTCAAGTGGGGACCTGGATTTCCTGGCTACTTGACCTAGACACTGACGTGGAGGGACCTTGGGCTGGGAACCAGGAGGCCTGGGTTTTCTACTCCGCCTTCCACCAATTTCCTGAGCCATCTTGGTCAAGTCACACTCTCCCACCAACCTGGAGCCTCAGTTTCCTCATCTGTAAACTATTGAGTTGGCCATGATGCTTGGGATATTCTGTGATTTTAGGGTTCCTTTTAGTGCGTGCTGGTGGGGAGTGTCAATGCCTTGGTAGGTTTCATGTCTAGATCTTCGCTTGTTTCACATACATGTAGAATCGAGGGCCAGCCTAGCATTTAAGAAGGGAACCAGACAGTGATGGCGTTAGCTGGGGGAGCTCGAGCGGATGGTGGTGATCTTTAGCCAGCCGGGGGGAGGTTCCGAGCCAAATGACTGCAGAGACATAAAGCAGGTGTATGTGGCGGGGTGGAAGGTGGGCGGATCGGGCAGGCTCGCGGAGCATCTACACTGGGAGCAAAACAGAGTTTCGAGACTCTGAGCCAGGACTGGGGGCGGGGAAGCCCAGCGGACACTGCAGTCAGTCCCAGGGGCGTGAAGCCCTCTCCCCAAGTCAGCCCTGTCTGCATCCCCTGCCATCAGTTCACCGAAATAGTCCTGAACGTTCATCTCCTGAGTTTGGGAGCCGCTGTGTGTAAAACAATGAGAAATTTCTCGCAGTGACTGGTGATGCGCTGAAACATCGCGGCCGTGTTGGAGCAGACAGGCACTGAATGAAGATCAATAGGGTTTTCCCCCCTGGAAGTAAATAGCTTCAGACAGGACCTGGGAGTGGCCCGAGGGGCCTTAGAAAGCATTAACTTGAGGAATTTCTGCCTTCACTTTCCAGCCCAGCTGCTCCTGTCAGCCCGGGCTTCCCTCCTTCTCGAGCTGGAGTTTATAATTTCTTCTTGATGCCTGCCTCAACACTGCGCTATACCGTCTTTTGACGTCAGGATGATCCGGGGTTTTTAGAGGTGGCTGATGTGGGGTGAGCCAGCACAGCGTCCCGACTAGGCCCTTCCAAGGTCACTCGGGTCCCCCAGCCGCCGGCATGATAGCTGACTTCAGAAGTCCAGCCCGCTGCGTTCTTTCGGGCTTTGAGGAGCGGCTCTTCATTCCCACCCTTCCAAAGGCAAGGCTGCTTGGCTGCTTCCTTTGTGGGGCCTGTGAAGGTCCCTAAGCCCCCTCGTTCCCACAGGCCCCCTGTCCTGTCCCCAGGAAACAGAGCCCGCTCGGTGAGGGTCGGGGGAGGAGGCACAGATGCCCTGTGGATTCTAGGATGACTGCATCCTTAGGGGTGGGAGGTGCAAGGTCATGTGCAGGGGAGGCTCAGGGCTTAGGGCTGCTTGGGATGTCCATGCAGGGCAGCACCGGCTGTGCTCCACCACTGGGACTGTTTCTGATCTGCGGAGGCCAGGCTTCCTCCAGGCTGTTACAGTCACCTGCCCCTGCCTTGGCCCCACACTGCTTCAGCCTGCACGTCCCCACCCTCTTCTTCCCCCCATCTGCGCCCCCCAACCCCCGCCTTTCTTGCTCAGGACCTTCTAGAGGGAACGAACCGAGGGGCTCCCCAGGCCCTGGTGGCAGCAGAGAGAACTGAAAGTCCAGAAGCAGGGCCCTTCCTCTGGGGCCAGCACCCAGCAGGCCCTGGCGTGTCCTTGCCAAGGTGCTTTGGTGGACAGACGGGCCCAGGGTGGGCCTGGTGCAGATGCAGACCGGCCTTGGGCTTGTTGGCTGGAATAGCTCTTCTTGCAGGCGCCGATTCCCCTGTATGAGCACCAGGGGGCAGTGTGCCTGTGCTGAGGTGGCCTCACCTTCTCCTGCCTGGGACCCCACCTGGGTCTGGAACAACTCACAACCGAAATATAACGGCCCTGGTTTACTGAGCACTTACTAGCTGCCAAGCACCATGCTTTTCAATGAATGACTAGTAGTGTGACTAGTAAGTGCTTGAGACCAGTAGCTGTTGCAGTAGTTTTTTTCTTCACCATCTGGTTTAGCCTTCACCAGCCCTGCCTGGAGACAT